TCTTTCCCTTCTTCCTCCCAACTTTGAGGTATAAGTTTGGGAAGATGGAAGTGCACACATTGTTAACTTGACATCAGTTCCCTTACAGTAACTCCAGTGCTTTTCAACTCTCAGCAAAAGAATTAATCTCACCGAAACAGTGGGGAGTTGAGCGACACTGATGCATCAAAGGAGTCATGGCACAACAGTCGGGCTAAAGGGAAGATCAGACTACCCAGTAATGATCACTATGGGAAGGAGAAAGCAACACTTCACTACTAGTTAAGAACAAATAAGCACAATGGAAGTTTACAACTAGCCCAGGAAGGTTGCATGTGTTCTGATAATCAGTGCCTAATGAAGGAAAATGTCACTGTACACAGGAATGTGTTTAAATATAAGCAGAGTTATGATTTATATACAGCTATTTAGTCATACCAATCCCCCCTCGCAATTCATCTTACCTTGATCAGCTTTGTCTTGATTTGCAAATTCCACGGTGTACTTAGAGCAATCTAGTCCTAAGAGTTCTTGCTGCTGTTTTAAGATCTCATCCATCAATCTTGAATTATTCCTCTTGAAAATACCTTTAAAAAAAGGTTGCATTGTCAGCCAACTCCTATAAAGAGGGCTACAAAACAAATCTGACACTAGGCAGGAAGAAAAAAGAATCAGGTAGTCAGTACTGGTTTCAAACTGGAGTTCACAAGTACGAAAAGAATCCAAAGCAAATACTATTGCACATGACTAATTTCAGTGACCTTGGAAAGAGAACTCATGTGCTTTTTGTTCCTCTTTCACTCAGCCTGGTTTAAGTAGCAAGCTGCAATTGCATAAAGGATAGTTTCAAGACTTACTTCACTGTCCTCAGTATGCCAGCAATAGTTTGAGACAGCAATACCCTACCAGCACAGAACCACCAAGTCAGATTAACACCAAGTTTCTTTAATGCCCATGCTGCTGTAGATTTGCAGCTTAAGTCTGCTACCACTTACTACCCCACCATTAAGGCTGCAGGCTAACAAAGCAAGTCACCACAAAGCAAGAGCCGGAAGACTAAATCAGCGTATCAGGCCACAGTAACTGTCCACCCTTATGCCACGGCCAATGCCATGGATTTCCTAATAAGAGGATTTCACAAGCTGTATATTCCAAGGAGTTAATGCAGTCCCCAAGGCCTTTTTATACTTACATGTTTATGGTAGACACATTTTGAGTGCAGGAGATTACAAAAACTTGCTCAGCGAAACATACTCAGGTTCCTGTTCTAAAATAAATTCCAGCTCTCGAGACACAACACAACTATTTGTAATTAAAAGCCACAGTAAAAATTAAGTGTCACAGCTTAAATATTTACAATGCAAAAGTGTGGCTAGGCATATTTATTTAGGAACTGATAACACTTTTATCACGTTGTATTTGGGGGTTGTTACTAAGAGCCTAAGTTTCATTCAGCAATCCTATGTCAAGCACTTCTGTTGACCAGTCTAAAAACGCCCACACGATAATCTTGCAAGAAACAATGAACTTGTATACAATTTGATGATCAGGCTTATGATTCATCACCTCAACCTGAATCTGGGATTAGACACTGCTACAGACAGCAGCTTCCACATCAGTAATGGTCAAACAGTGTACAAGCATTGGGTTAAGACCATAATACATTAGGAGTTAGTCTGCAACACGAAGTGATACAATGCATTTATTTAATATGCTAGTCTTTTAGCCCTAGCGAGTTAGTATTTTTATACAGGCTTCATTAGAGGTTTTAATAGGTGGTAAAGCATCTGGTTTTCCGCCCATCCTGGATACTTCCTGAAAAAAAATTATTTACTTCATTACACAAGTGTTAGTGATGCTTATAACTGATTTCATATGTTGACAGACAAGCGAATCTCAGTAAGGCAGCAACCTTGATAGGAAAAAAGTGTTACAATACTTTCACTAAGTCTAAACTAAATTGTTACGCTTTGTGCTCCTGCTTACTGGTGTATATTCATACATATAAGAAGTTGAGAATGCTGTTTGATACAACTCTGCTTAGATAAGTCTGTTTTGTGCTAGTTAGCACTGGTTGTCTTCCTTACACTTTAGGTCAACAGCAGTGCGGCTACTGCAACTGCTAATCCTGCACCATCTTCAAGTAAGATCTTCTGCAAGGTTGCACGTGCCTCACCTCTAACAGTCACTTGACTTCCATCCACTTTTCAAGGTAAGGAAAAAAGAACACCCCTATGTTCAATATTCAGAAAAGGAGTTGGCATAATTAGGAAAGGCTCCCAATCTGGGAAACAGACAGATGCTCTCTTCTTCCCCTTCCAACACTAATGATACCAATTTTTTCCTCATGAGAAGTTGTTGCCTATTCCTGTCAAAGATTGGAAGAAAAGATTTAAGAATCTGCACTCCAGCTCCAAAGTAAATGAAGACATTGGGGATAACAGGTAGGAGAGTAGACTAAGGTGCTTACTGCTCAGTAAAAAGGGACATCAGATAAAGGACCTGGTCCAGCTCTTAAGTGAAGGTCCTTAATACATACAGTGGATACTGAAGACATGCTAGATGTGTTCTTGAGATTTATCTGAACACCACCAGCATTTCCCTTCTACTCTCCTTATTTGTCTCACCCACCTCCTTAGCTGTTCAAACCTGGGTCCTGTGTTGCTCTTGGAATAGCACTTTAACATAAACTGGAAGCTACTGCAGTTGTACTGTATAGTTGTAGTATGTCTTTCTTGGAGAGACCTCCACACCTAAATTCCAACTGATTGACCAACCTTGACGCCCCTGCAGTTTTCCTGCAGAGAAGACCCTGAAGCACATCAGAGGGTAGTAAACATTCAAACTAACCGAAATCTTCATTTAAAACCAAAAGCATTTGGGAACTTTACTCCTTCAGTGTTTTGTCTCTCACTCTGTGCAAGAGACTTTTTCTTACGAATGTGTATGATGGCAAATACAGTCCTGCCAGGGGCAATGTACATGGGCCAAATTCACATTTGACTTTAAAAATTATTTTACATGGTTGTGGCTCAGACATACGCTCCCTTCCCTTATAGTAGCTCAAAACCCCATTTGTCTACAAGGTGCATTTTTTAAAACTTTGAAAATATATCCAAGTTAGTCCTGGAAGACGCTGTTGGTAATTTATACATGATAAATAGAGTAAACAAGAGTGCATGAGTAGACCAACTCATTAACAGAATTCAAGTGTTCCTAGGCAGCGAGACTTAAGTCTTGATTTAATGCTATCTTCCAATTTTGTTGTCTTCCACAGAAGTTGAAAGCAAGTCCATAATATGATTTTAACATTATAGAAAGTTAATGTTTGACAAGAGGTCTAATAAATTTTAGCAATACAACAGCTGTTTGCTGTTAAATGGGGAAGATTTCAGCCCTACTACTGTTTCTAATATGGAACACAAACATGAAATTGTCACTAGTATTTCTCATTAGAAACAATTTTTGGTTTTGAAAAGCAGAAACAGTTTTGTTCAGTCAGAACTCTGGAGTCTTTGCAAGCTGGTACAAACGTGTATATTCCAGCAAATGAAGTGTTTTAAGAATTATGCATATTTAAGCACCACAATTCCCAAAGCAAGAGAGTATAAAACTTCAGTTTGTTTTTTTGTTTTTTTTTTTTTTTTTTAAACTACTGCAAACACATGAGCTGTTTCCAGGGATAATTATTGTTTTTACAACACAGGCTGCAAGCCTGCTGTGGATCATTAGTTCCCGTCAGAGCAGAGGCAAACCAGAAGTGTTTTAGCTTCTTACAGTAGTCCTCCATTACACGGGTCTTTTCAGGGGCACACGGCTTTTGCTCAGTTTTACAATAGTTATAAGCCATGCCCCTTTGCAATCAACTGTGGTGTTGCAGCAGTTTAGGGTTAGAGACTAACAAAAGCAGTTTGTAATTAAGAGGCTGTGAGTTCAGCAGAAGCAAGGCTCAAAATTGACAGGAATTGGAGAGGAACAACTGACACAGAGAAACACCAGGTGGTGTCAACCATTTGTTTGTCCAGCTAGACTACCACAGTCACCACCTGTTAATGCCTTGGTAGCATCTCAAAGTTCAACATTCTCACTTGCCCTGCTTTTTGAAGCAGCCGAATCTGGTTTAAAACACAGGCGAAGAGTCAGTTCTTCCTTACAAGGGAACACCTTAACCAAAGTTAAGCCTAGGAAAGAATATATTTCCACAGCATTTCAGTTAATTGCTTTTTCTCAACTCCCTTCCAGTGCCAACAAGGGAAGAGTCATAAGGTAACAAGTCTGTTTTAAGCATCAAACTATTAACAGTTTGAGAAACATCAAATCATATCCCACTTCAAATAACGTACATGCAAGAAGCTGTTTTAACACATGAACAACTTCTGCCTACATCCTCGTGTTGGATCACACTGGTTGCAGTTTAATGGAGGAAAGCAGGGTTTGAGTCATTACACTGCACCTCACAGGATATGGAGAGCTAGAAAAATGTATTGGGCTTGTCTATTCCAAGAGACTAGAAAAAATAGAATCCAAGTTCGAAAGTGGCTGAAGTCACTTAAGTTTCATCAACGTTAAAGCCACTTAAGCTAGCGAGCACTAGCCAAACAGGGAGAATTCAAGTGAGAACTTATAACCTCGTAGCTGACCATTCCTCCACATTTCTTTTTGGAGGGACATTCTGTACCAGGAGAACAAGAGCTCATCAGCAATCAAGAGAAGAGATACTACTTTCATATTACCCATACCTATAGGGAGACTATCTTCTACAGATTAGCATTAGCCCTTTTAATAAATGTGATCTGAGGACCCCTGCCAACTCAACACCAAAACACAATTGTTGAATCTGAAGTTTCACACGGGTGAAGACCTGTAGCAGATGCCATGTGATACTAGTATCTCACAAAAGGCGTTCCGGTGACACAAAACCATAACATATTTATCTCCCCTGGTGAAGTGATCACACTGAACACCCAGAAAGTTTTATGGATTATCACGTGCTAGACTACCAAGTAATTTGGAAGACACTAAAAGCCTACATTTGGGGCTAATGAAATAATTTCTTTTGCTTACTGCAGTACTCTATCCTTTCAAAGAATTTCTAAGAGAAAATTGGTTAGAAGTAAAGCAGTTTACTGGAAAGCTAAACCCAGGGTAAAGAAACCCAAGTTCTCAACACAGTCGCACTATGAGCTTTAAGAAGCCTTCAACCTGAAGCATCTATTCAGGAGCCCAAAGTACTCAAATGCCAAGATTCAGCAAGCTCCCAAAAAGCGCTCTAGATTTGTCCCGAACTATTTCAGGAAAGCTTCACTGATGGACAGAAGTAACACTCAAGCAAGCTCTTGAGTGGCAAAGTAACTTGAACAGAAGAAAGTTAAAGTGTATGACACTGGTCAAAGGCTTCTGCTCCGCAGAAGGTATCTTAACTGCTGTTATAGAATTGCATAATCACTGCCTTCTGACTGCCAGAAGGCTGTGTTATTTCCTCAGAGATAAGGTCTTGACCAGCATGGCTGGATTTCTATCAAGTAATAGGATTGGCAATACAGAAATCCACTGAAATAAATCCCTGACCAAAAAACTAAAATTTTAGTCAATCTGGACTTAACAGCCAAGGTGCACGCGGTAGCATTAAATTTATTAAGGCTTTGTTCTGCTGCGTATCAATGAAAATTGGGAGAATGAAAAGGGCCCCTAAATACCAGAGGCAGTAAAAGCAGGCCTCCAAGCCTGCTGGTGCGGGGGAAAATATCAGTTTTGAGCACTGCAACTTACAGAACCATGTATTTATTACAGTACAAGAGTTACTGAGACTATGGTCCTCTTGCATTCTGCAAAGACCTTTTTACCCCAGTCTTCTGGCATACTGATCGTCATGGATTCAGAGAAGACAGCCAAGTACCTGATCACGTTCCACAAGTATTATCCAATAAATTTGTAACATATTGGGTTCTGTAACTGCCCATGAGAATCAGCACGACTCCAGCCAAGTTGCCCTTAGAGTTACTGGTGCAGCTGCTGTAACACAGTAGTGTCAGCTGGGATGCAGCTACTTATTTTGACACCCAAGAAACACAGAAACCACCTTTTATTTAGTCATTTTATTAAAAATATAGAAATTCACTACTATAAACAAATAAACAGCTTATCTGGCACTTCTTCTTTAAAGAACATCATGCTTCTCTCTCTTCCTATAGAAGGGGCAATTAAGGACACATTTTTAATTCAAACCTTCTACAGAACACTGACACAGTATTTCTCCAGAAAACACAAGCATGGAAGACCACTCTTGTAATCAAAGTTTCCAGTTACAACTAGAAGAATCTCAGTACTACAAATACGCAATGAAGGAAAAGGAAACAAATTAAAGTATACCCCGCTACATCTAACACAGATTCAGAGCACTTCTCATTGTGTTTCCTTCTTCACCACAGCCAGCATCAGTGGGGACAACGAAACTTTGGTAAGTCAATAGTTGGTACAATTGTATGAACACAGAACCTTACCAAAGAAGCTCAGCAGACCAAAAGTAAGCCTCACCACCTGAGAAAATGAAACCAAGTGCACAGCATAATTAAGGTTCAGCCTCTGCTGCTGATAAGAGCAAGCTGTACCTCACTTTATTCACCTTCACTATACTAGTGTTACTGCTGAGGGTTCCAGATATCACTATTATTCAGAACCAGATTTAGCAACAACTACAACATCCTACTTAACGACAAGTCTACCTGGAAATGCTGTATGCTCAATCCAGACACCATAAGGAGCTTAGCACCAGAAGAAAAGCAACATATCTGCTATTATCAGAAGTAAGCATATACTCAAGCCATATGAATGACCACTTGCTCACTCTCTGAAACCAGTTTAAAAGGCTTAGTGACAAGACACTATGCAAAAAGCAGTTGTGGCTGCTATCCCAGAAAACCCATTGAACACCTGTGAAGAACATGCATGTATAATGGCAGGCTATTCTCATCAAACCTGAAAGTTTAGCAAAAGCCACTGATTTAAAACCTTCTAGTTACTCTGCATTAAGTCTTGCCTTCTTCAATTATGTTCCAACAAACTGGAATTTGAGCTGGCAATTAAACCAGCATATTCTGGTATCAGAGGACTAACAGAAGAAAGAACTAATGAAAAGCATTATGTCTTTATACTGAAATCATGAGATTATAGCCATATTTTTAGATTTCAAAGGTGTTAACAAAACCTCTTAACGCGCAACTTCAGCATGAATGTAACAATACGCGTGTCCTGGTTTCGACATGGAAACAGCAGCAAATAATCTCCAAGATTGTTATTGTCTTTGTTAGCAGGTCAGGAAAAAAAAAAACTAAGACAAGGTTATTTCAGCTACACTGGTCTTCCGAGGACATACACTAAAAAATTGTCATTTCTGGTCATCAAATGTACAGTCTTGTAATAGTCAATCTTAGATCTGACTGGATCTCAACACGTGTGCTGGAGAAGCAGAAGTAGCTTCTCCACAATGAAGGCGTCAGACACTGTAACAGCACTGGCTCCTCTCTGTCAAACAGAATCTCAGCAACATGTGGCTGGTGCCTTCTCCCTCCTCAGTGTCGAATGGTTGCATAGTGAGCAATCTGAAACCCCAGACCACCAAGAAACTCTCAGCTGGATCTGTTCCTCAATTCAGTTCTCATATATGTAATTTGTGCAGCACAATGCAGGGATCTAAAAAGGAACTAAGCATACATGCATAACGTATTAGGCAATACTACAGACAGCTTATTTGAGGTTTGACAGAAATTAGAGATCCTGTACAATAAAACATCTCTCTTCAGGCTATGAGGGAAATTCTCACTCTTGTTTGGTACTAATGTTTGCTCTGCAGCATTAAACCTGGTTGAATGCTTTCCAAATTGAGAGCAAAAAATATCAACACATAAATGGCTTTTCAGAAGGTGCTGTTTTCTGTGCCCTCAAGATGTTATGCAAATATTTTATTCCATTCCTTGACTTCCAAATGAGGAAGCATTCTCCCACTGAAACACAACATAACCAAGTTCCACAACAGCCCTGCACAGACGGCCAGTTTAAACTGCTAAGTGACTGGTATTAAACCTAGTTTCTTAAAAAGATCTGAGAGAATTTAGTGAAAGTCAAGCCATTCGAGTCTTATATCACATACGAAGGACCAGACATGAAACAGAACTATTAACGGCAGTTTTAATGGGGTTTTAAAAAAAAATTTAACAAAATCACAAATGCCTGTGCTCAGGGCAAGGCCTGCATACCTCAAATGCTTTTGCACACTTGACAATAGATTGCACCTTGGGATGCACTGTTGAGTTTTTCCTGAAAGGGCACCAGAAGACAACTATTACAGACTGTACCTCTAACCCAGCATATATCTACAGAGTTAATCCACCTTGCATGACATCTCTAGATAGCCAGCAGAAGTGGCTCAAAACAACAGTTAAACACTGGTTTTCTACAGTCTCACCATTGACAGCAAGAGCATACGGATCTTTGGCACGAAGCCGTCTCCTCTGGAGAGGACAGAAACAGGACACAGTCCATTTCATGTACGATTAGCCCTTCTGAGTTGATAGCTTGTCTAGTCTCAGTTAGAGATCATCTCTCAACAGCTGGGTAGAAAGCTTCACCTAAGAATATCTCGAATATGGCTGGTGTCATTCTCCTCAGTAGGAAAGGATAGGTATGAGGAAGACAGATTTGTTCCATGATTATTCCACAGAACGTCAAATAGAAACTCTGAGCTTATCTTTAAGATACTCAGTGACGTGGAATCAATGTATCTGCAAGAGCGAGAGTTCGACAGCCTTACGCCTAAGACCCAGTAATGAATAAAATCACATAGTGGATACGAAAAAACACCAGAGTTCTCACAAGCACGGGCTCAGAGTTAACTCAAACGTCAAGTAGCACCAGCCCTTATACCAAACGCAGACCACGTAATTTAATTTTACAATACAGACAGCACACAGGACATGTTTATGTTTAACTACCTTTCCATCCTGTCTGTTCACACGAGAAAGAGGACATGAAAGTAGATGGCTACTCTCATTGATCCACTTCTGGAAGTTCAGACATAGCTCATACACAGAGCTCGCAAGAGTAGGTAGCCTAAAGCTCTTCTCTACTAACAGCCCATACCCTACACGGCCACGGCTCTCAGATGCCAGCAGTTCCTGTCAGCCCGGGGGTGGGGACAAGGCTCTAGAAAGGCCCCACCATCTGCCCCCTCCAGTGAGCAGGCAGGATCGGGTCACCCCGGCACAGGAGCTGGGGCGGGAGGGCACTCGAGGCGTTCCCCGGGCTTACCAGGGCCAGGAGCGCTGCGGAGGCCGAGCGGCTCCCGGGGACGGGAAAGGAGCTGCCAACAGCGGGGCTGGCACCCGGCTGGGGAAGACCCCGGGGGAGGGAGGCCCCTTGGCTCCACGCCGGTGGCGCGGCG